TAATATTATAACTTAATATAATTGAGTTATTAGATTAAATTAGTTTAAGTTTAAGAATTAAAATTTCGTTAATATAATTTTTTTTATTTTTTAAAGTTAAAAAATGAACCATTTGTTTATAAACATTAATTATAAATTTAAAATTAATTCAAGAAGAGTATGATTTTTAAGTTTTTAATATTTATTAATTATTTCTAAATTTATCATTATTTATGGTAAAATATATTTAATTTTTAAAATTTGTTAAAATTAAATAAATTTAGAATTTTGAGAAAATTTTTCGAAAATAAGGGGATTTTCGGGAATTTTTAGAATTTTCTCATGACTATCGAATATCCCTTGATTTTCAATTTATAAAATAATTGTAGTGTAAAATTGCAGTAAAAGTCGACACCCAAATTAGTACACCCCCAAGATTTTTCTCAGTTGATCCCCTCAATACCCCCTTGAAACTTGCGCAACCCTGATATATATTTATACATACATTATATGATATATTCAATATAAAGCAATATTGTGGAGGATGCGATGGCTGTGCCAGAGGTTAATCGTGTATTTATGTTATATACAGTGTATTTAAGATTGCATGTATAAGACTGGTATATACTTTACTATATAGTAATATATATATATATATATATATATATATATATATATATAACTATAAGTATATGACTGTATTGGACGATCAATTATGTTAGAAATCCAATAAAATGCGTCCGTTTTAATAGGAAATGCAGACATTCAGAGCCAAGATTTAGCATTTAATTTATTGATAGACATGTTTGTGTGTCATCTCAGAAAGTATATGTATGTATGTGTGTGTATAGTGTAAGAGTATATTAAATATTTGATTTTATAACTGTGATTCAATTGCTAAAAATTATTTTGATTAATATATATTTTATGAGTTTATTTTAAATTACATTTTTGTAACAATATTTGATTTTTAATAATTAACATTTAATTTGAATAACATAAAATAATAAATGCCAATTACTTAGGTTATTAAAAATTTCTTTTATTTAATTTAAAAGCACAATAAAAATTTTATTATTATATAAAATTAATTAAACAGATTGTAAAACATCATTAATTAAGCAATAGGTTTGAGCCGTAAAATTTGTGTCCAAATGTGTCCACTGAGTGACCAAAAACATCAAATTTATTTAAGTCTGGGCACTAATCCCATCAAAATTCTGGTATCGTTTGCACCGGCAGTTAAACAGTAGGAAAGGGAACTAATATAATATGAGTCATTTGATATGAATCTACAGTATATAAAATTAAGTCATATCAAGTGATTTGCAGCTACAATCATAGTCATAGATATATATAAATTTATAAAAGCTAATATAAATACACATTACTATCAAAATACGTACAAAAATAATAAGATTTATTTGAAAAAACAAAACTAAAATTATAATTAAATTATTATCTTTAATAAATATAAAACAAAAAATATGATAAAATAATTTTTTATTCATTATTTTATTTCCACTTTTATTACAAGTATATTGTTGTGCAAACGTATAAGTTATAAAAAAAATAATGAAATTTAATTTTTTTGTGCCACATTTAACACGTTAAAGGCCATTACAAGTATTGTTTCACTTTTTTTGCACACATAAGAAAAAAATGATAAAATAAAATATTTTATTTTTTATGTTAAGACTTATTACTACTTTTTTAATAATAATAAAAAGATCTATATATCTATAGTAATATAGTAATAGTATATACCGTTGAGATAGTTAGTGGTCTGTAAAAAGAGTTATTAATCACTTTTTCACTTCTCAGACATCCATACGATTGTAAACTATATAAGCCTTGAATTAACGGTTATTCATGTCTTTAATTATTTATTGAAACACTTTATTCTCTTTTTTCGGGTATTAAATGCCATATAAAACGCTATTTTCTATACAGTCTATCATATATTTTATCCCATAGTTTTGCCATTCATTCACAAGGATTGATAATAATTGAGTGCAATGTGTGTATGAAAAATGAAAATATTTTTTATATAATCTATATTTTGTTGTAAGCAATATATATATAAATTTATATATACTGTATATCGATTTATATATCACACGTTTTACTTAATGGATATCTCTTTAGTAAAGTATATAATGTTCAATTACAAATATTTTTGTCATTGAAATTATATAGATTTTTCTTTATATAAATAATATTTCTTTATAAATTTATTTTAGTAAGTTTAATATAAATAATAAAAAAATAGTTTTTTCATTAATAAAAATATTCTAGAATTATATCAAAATATTTATTCAGTTCTATTAATATTTAAGTTATTTTCTATTTTCAATATTAAAGAAAAATTTATAAATTATAAAATTTGATTTTTACCATTAAATGTCACAAACAATAAATAATAATTAGCTTAAGGTCAAATATTAACAAAAATTTTGTATTATAATTATATTTATACTAAAATATATTTAAAATAGATACTCTAAAATGTAACTAAATAATATATAAATTGTATTTGTTTATGAGAATCATTAAACATTTAAAGTTATTATATATACTAATTATGTAAATTAAATAACAAATTGTAAAGTTGTTGTTTAAATTCAATATTAAATTAAATAATTTAATATAAAATAAAATTAGCTGATTTATTAAATGAAATTATTATCATTTATTTTATTTACAAAACATATATTATTTTTGCACATAATTTGAGAACTATTTTTCAAAATTAATAAATATTTGCTTAAAAATTGTCTAACAAATTATGTCATTAAAGCATTAATAATAAATTGAAAGAAATATATATTTATATAATAAAGTCCATAAAAATTTAATTAATAAATTGAATATTATGAGTTTTAAATATAAATAATGTCAAAATTCAAATTGTCAATTTTGCTTATTTATGTAAATAAATTAAAATTAATAATATTATTTTCTTTATTGAGTTAAAATACAAATATTAAACAAAACATTTTAGCATAATTTAAAAATTTGATAATATTTTTAAAAATTATGTAAAGTACATACAAAACTACTATAAGAATATACATAATAATAATAATATTTTTATTATTATTACTACTGTATTTGTCTTAATTAGACAATATATTGTCATAAATTACTGTAAAACTCTCAAAATAATACAAAACGATTTAGCATTTAAATTATTTTTAACAAATAGTTTGTATTAATCAAATGTTTATATTAGCTATTACATAATTTTAATTTATTAAGTTGTTTTAACAACAAAATATATTTTAATATAAAATCGTTGTAAAATTATATGTAACATCTATAATAACACATTTTATATTATTTGGCGCATAATATTTAGTATTTTTATTATCTAATATGTAAGTATGAAATACAAATTAAATGACATATGATTTATGTTTTTGATAATGGCTTTTAAAAGTTATTAATTAATATTTAATTATGTATTTATAATGTTTTATGAGGTGCAGCCTGGCTTTGACTATAATACTGAATATTGTAATGGTTTTTGCACACATCTAAAAGTATATAAAATGTGTGTCTGTAAGTGTTTAATGTATATAAATTATATTATATATTTATATATTAAATTATGTATACAGTATTCAGTAATACTGAATCAGTGTATTAAAAGTATGTAAACCCGTGTTTAGCCATATATTGCTATTTTCTATTGAAATATACAGTATGCTGTAGTATATCAATATTATATATATACAGTATATTACATTATATAATATTAAATATATAAAAATCAATAGCCACATGAATCAAAGTTAATTACAATATCATTAACAGTTATATATTAAATATATTTAATAATATATTGTCATTTAGTTTTTACGGTTCAAGAATTTTAATAAATTTCTGTTACAATAAAAATCTATAGATATTATACTTTAACAAAAAAATATTGTACTGTAATATAAAAATTTATACTGTATTTTGTTTTTCTAAGTTTGCACTGATATTTAATGAGTATTTATGATCTTTATTGACATCGTATCAGTTTATTTTCTATCTATAATTTAACATCATCATAAATCACATTTTTATCAATACCATTTATATTTATGGGCACCAGTCATACAAATTTATCATATTTCATATATAACTTATACTATTATATTTTTTTAGTAGTTATAGTGTATAAAAAATATATTTAATATTTATTACTTATTTTTATTTATATAAAGTATTTGTATATTGAAAATCAATTTAAATTTAATTTTCTAACACATTTTGTAAGTAAATCATATGGGAATGCATAAAAATAATATGGTTATTTAAAAAATACTAAAATTTGCAATATTTAGCATAAATAATTAAGCAACCTAGCTTTAAAATTTAATCATATTTTTTATTAAATTTAAATACTGTATAAATTTTTTCTGTTCATAAAAGTTGTAATATTTACGAATAAAAAACTTATAAATATTAAATATATATATATATATTTGATTTATAAGTTAATTATTATAGAAAATAACTTATATTTCAAGTTTTTCGTTGCACTTTAAATAATCGCAATTTGGTTATATTTGCCATACATATTGAAAGTAATTCAAGTAATTAACTAACATTTACCAAAAAAAATTTGCATTAGTATATTGCGTGTATTCAATAATATTATATATATATATATATATATATAGTGACCAAATCTTACGGTTTTACGTTGACAGTCCTATTAAAGTTTGATCGAATATTAAGTGCAAATAAATTTTAATAAAAATGCATACATTTTTAGCTCAATATTTGTAATTTTTTTTATTTATCTTATTATTGTTGTTACGGTAGTGATATTGATATAAAAAAAAACAATTTTATTTATAACAATGTCTTGAAATAATTTAGTCATAATATTTGAAAACTATTTTCTAAGTTAGTTTTTTGAATTTGAGCATGTTCATATTGCGCAATCTCTTTATTACACTTAGATATCTAAACTATATTTCTCTCTCTCTCTCTCACACACATACATACCCAGACATACCGATTCTTATACACACAGTGTCAGTATAAAGGCCTGGTATGAAAACATAGTGCCAGTGTTTTAGGAAGTTCTGGCTCACTGTTCCTCTCGTTTAATATTGAAGTCATTATTTACAACAGTTGTTGAGTACATTATTTTAATGATTGTTTGTTACATTTAAACGATTCGTGAGTTTAGTTAAAAAAGAGAGTGAAATATAAATAAGAGAGAAGACAACAACATTAAACATTTTTGTAAGTATTAAAAACATGTTTTAAATTTACATATATATATCCTAATCCTTAAATATAACTTTATATGTGTTGTAACTGTAACTATGATTATACAATTAATTTGAATGTTTATATAAATAATGAAACAATATTGGATGCAATTTCATAGTTATTATTATTATTATTATTATTATTATTATTATTTGCATTTCTAACATAACATTGAGATCTATATCTTATATACGATATATTAAATTGCATGTTTACGTATAAGAAATATACGGTATATTATTTTCAATTGCCTATAAAACAAATAACCTGGAGCATTGAAAAACACAAAAATAATAATATTTTTAAGTTAAAAGTACTTTTTTATAAGTATGAAAAATACACATTCAATATATATTTATATTGATGTATACGTATATACAGTATAGTTACAACAATATTGCACTCATGGTTTGTTGTTTTTTTTTATCAATTTTTAATACAGCTTTTTATATTTGCAAAATGTTTCAGTATTTGCAATAAAATCAATAATTTGAAAAAAGATAAAAATTTTACTTTTAAGCTAACAATCTATTAAAAAACTTTTTTTTTATTGTCTTAAATTAAGTATTTTTAGTGAATATTTTTATATATAATAAATTATGATTTAATGATACTGATTATATTTTTGCATATTTAATAATAATAATTAAGCAATTATTTTAATTTAATTACATATATAATAGATATTAATAGTAATTTTTTAGATATTTATTAAATATTTTTCTAATATAATAAATGATAATTATCTTATATTAAAAGCCTCTATTTTCTCAATAATATCCAAAAATATTTCTAAGTACTCACTTTTTGAAATACGATATTATAATAAATTGTATATTGTTTAATATCAAGGAAAAAAAGCTTGAATGACAAAAAAAAGTTAATTTGAAACACAATATCCCATAATAACTACACACACAGTATTTTAAAGGCTATATAAGTATAACTAATTTTCTCTATAAAAGAGTGAGATATAAAATATATAATAAAAAACGAGAGATATATTGACATTTAAATTTGTCACTCAGTTTGAAGTGAAAAGTCATTCAAATAGATGAGGCGTTTAATGAAATGCGTGAATACATTACATATTCATTACACAATGCATTTGTTGTCTAATTAAATGCTTGTGTTTTGTAGTATTTGTTTTATAATAAAACTTTTCATTTGCATTGTTTTACGTTAATTATCTGTTTATCTCAAACACTATTCATAGCATCAATGGATCTGTTTGTTTGAAAGATTTGATGTGATTTGTGATACGGTTTACACATTGTGTATGTGTTTGTGAATGTTTGTAACATTTGTTTAACAATTGCTATACAAATAACAATCAAATTAAAAATATATATATATATAAACAAAATTGCATTTGTTTTACAAACACGAAACTAAAGCTTTTTTAAAAAGTAGTTTTAAAGTAAAGCACTGTATTTTGTATTATTTTTTCCTTAAAGAAAATGCTGTAAAATAAATCAAAAGAAATGATTTTTCACTTTTAACAAAAAGCAATAATACAATGAAAATTGTTGTTAAAATAGTAGTAGTTTTGTAAAACTTTATATTATTGAATACATAACATTATTATTGATTATTTTCTCATTTTGTTAAAACATCAATTTTCATTTGGAAAAATACATGCAGAATATATATTTAAATAAATATGCACTATATAATATACAAATAAAAAAATAATACAAATAGTAGTAATAAATAATATTTGTATATACAATCAAAATAACAATAAAATATAATGATTTAAATAATAATTTATGTAATGGCTTGAGGGGTATTAACTTACAATACATTTATGTTATACAGTAAAGCGAGCTTTTTTGGCTCACATTAAAGTTATATATCAATATATTCTGTGTTACAAAACAAATGTATTGAATGTAATCTTTTATATTTAATATAATATTTGCTTTTTAAAGAAAATTATTGAGATTACAGATTTCTAATAGTATATATTCAATAGATAATACATTACATAAATCAGTAATGTATTAAGTAATTACATTGACTATTTAAAGTAAACATTTTAAATTTATCAATATATAAAATCAACAGGATTTAACTAAAATGCAGTTAAGTTAGACATTAATGCTATATTCAATAATATAATATTTAATGAATTAATTGCAATAAATAAATTTATTATATTTATATTAATTTTAATGCATAAATACAGTATATTATGACTGTAATATTTTAGTGTTATAAGTTAGATTAATTATACTTATTTTTTATGTGACATAAAAATTTAACTAATAATTTACAATAACAGTGTTAATGAAAATAAAGTACAAACCTCTAGGTTTATGTTGATGTCGGCTTAAAGTCACATTTGGTTAGACTTGTAATGACTGTTTGTAAATCAGGGATCGACTATTGTAGGCCTAACACACTATAAGCCAAGTCTTATTAGAAACACTGTCTTATATTTAGTAATGTTATGTAACACTAGCAGAGAAAAAGGCAATCGTTTATAATCACTATTATATATATCATATGATACAGTATAATGTAATCTATTATAATATTCATATTAATATCATATATAATATACTGTCTGTAATACTGTATTTAAATTAAAACCAAAATATGTCATGAGATATAATGTCAAGGCTATAAAAATCTATTTTAAAATATTAAAATATTTTGTATTAAAATATTAACTTAATTATTTATATTTGTTAAATAAATAATATTATATTTTCAAATATCACATTTGATTAGAATAATTTAATCTTAAATATACATTGGTTTTAATAATTATATTAAGTAAAATTATAGGTAAATAAACATTTTAAGTAATTATGTAAATAATAAATATAAATTACTATTTTGTTATATCAATAGTTATTCAATTATATTATTCTATAAAATCTCAATCAACTTAACTTTTTAATATACATTTTGAATACCACTTTTAAATAATATATATACATATCTATAGTATAATGAATTTCAATTTTTAATATATGATTCATACAATATATTATGAAACATTAATATTACTTTTTACTTCAACCTATTTAAAATACATGAAACTTGTGAATAAATTGAAATTGTTATGTGTTTTTGTTAAATCATGAGATTGCATGGGTATTAAACACACAATTATAGTCATAAATATAAATGTTTAATATAAAAATACTGAATATAAAGAGATATAAGTCATGTATGTAAATGTTGTTTTATTTTTAAAATGTGGCTTTAGTTATGAGCCATTTGGGTATTTAATTCATGTAAATAACAAACATTAAATACTGTACTGAGGATAGTGTTAGGCATTGTTGAGGAAGAGTAGGACCAGTAGTTTTAGACCTAACCAGTAGTTTATCATCAGCTGTTGTTTGACTATTTTCTACGTGAGATTCACATTGCATTAATAAATATTATAAAAGAGATGCAGATATATATATATATATAGTCATATAAATAGCTTTAGATTTAACGCAACTCTCTGGAGAGTGAATGTGCCGTTAGTGGGAATATCATTGCATGAGATCCAGAGATCCGATATGTCGTAACAGAAAGTTGTTTGAAAGTTAGGATTTCTCTTATAAATTAAAATACAACTAATTTTTCAAATGAAAACTCTAATTTCAATTAGACTTTAATTATCTGTCTTTTTGCACAAAAATACTATATTTATGAACACTATATCTCTGCGCTCTCTCTTTCTCTCTCTCTCTCTCTCTCAAAATGTGTTTAAGTATAAGAACTATATGTTTGTGCTTTATATTGCAAATAAAAATATTTATTTTGATTTGCAAACTATAATATATGGTAGGAGTCGTGAGCTTTAATACAATTAGCTATAATTTTATGCTGAAACACCAATGCTATGAGTTAAAGAGTGATACAGAAAACGAGAGAGAGAGAGAGAGAGAGAGAGAGAGAGAGAGAGAGAGAGAGAGAGAGTATCCGAAAGTTTTTGATGTCATGTTTTTAATGCAATTAATTAGTGTTATATAACTAACTAAAGTACTAACTATTGCTTTTACCAACAAAACTGTTGTCAAATTTCTAATTAGCTTTGCTTTACAACTAACTGACTTTAACTCTGTTTAGATTTTTCTCCCTTTCCTTTACACCACAACTATGCTATACTATTGCTCTGACTTTCAATAGTGATACCCGTACTAAGCAATTGTATAATTGTTAGCTCTTTTATTGTCAATAAGAAACCTTTAATTTTGTGTTGTTTATCATTACCAGCAATGAGTGCACTCTATAATTATGGTTCATTATGGATCATCATGGGATCGGTAGCCATTGCTCATCAGTTACCGACTCTCACTATCGCTAACCACCAGAGTGTTCATCACAATCATGTTGGCCAACAAATGGGCCCATTATTTACCTTAGAGCCACCAAATCGTATACATTTTAGCAATACATCCGGTGCCGTGATTGCCTGCTCGGCCAATGGCGTCAACGTTAGGATCAATTGGATTTTGGCCGACGGCTCTCCCGCTATTGACATCAATAGCTTACGATATATTCGCTCTAATGGAGAGCTAGTGTTCCCTCCCTTTCCATCCACACAATACCGTCAAGACATCCATTCAACTGTATGTAAAACTATACAATTGTTTAATCAGATTATATTTAATTTTCATATAAATAAATAGATATGTATTATTATAACATATAACTATAGCTAATTTAATTTACATTACATTACATTTATATATAAATATTTAATTTATTTATTGCATTGTTTTATTGTCTCTTTGTTTGATTATTTTCGTTCACTATTTTCTAATATATATTTATTTTATTATTTAATTTCTTTATCTCAATCTTTTTTCATTTCTTTTGTCATGACTTTTAATATAACATAACAGACCTACAGATGTATTGCAAGCAATAGCTTTGGTACGATTCGCAGTCGTGATTGTCAAGTAAGAGCGGGTAAGTCGACTATCCCCTAAAAATCTAACTGTTTTCTGTATTTTACTTTCTCTATTTCATACACAAACACACAAACAGTATTTTATTTTCATAAAGTTTGCCTCAAAACAAAATACAGAATATTCTGTACTACTGTTGTGCAGAATTTGTGTAATGCTTTACTATTGGGAATTGCATTACAAAGAATAACACTGTGTTTAAGTCAACTCTCCCTCTCTCTCCTGCTGTGTGTCTGTCTAATGATTATTCATTTAAATTGATTAAAACAATATAAAGGATATAAACTTTGTTTTCATTTCATGTGTTTTATCTTCAGTTATATAAGCCTATGCTTAAGCTTACATAACAAACAGTAAATAAAAGAAAGAGAGAGAGAGAGAAAGTAAAATGTTGTTTATTTTTAATTATTGACTAAAATAATTCAAAATGTGTTAAATGATAGCAAACACTAGACATTAGTATTGTTGTATTATTGCATATTTAATCGCTTTGAGTACCAAAACTCTACTCACAGCACAAAAAACATCAATCAATTGATATAAAAGAAAGACAAGCAAAGAGTTGGCACTAACTTTGGCGGTCATTAATGGATTGTATGATAAATAAACCTATCGTTTATTTTGGTAATAAGGCTATACTCGTATTGGGAATGGTATGGCATATAGTATTTATGGATTGGCACTAACAATAAAGTTTGTGAGACGGCATTGATATCCAGATTTCTAATCAAACAGAGCTCTCTCTCTCTCTCTCTCTCTCTCTCTCTCTCTCTCTTCTGTTCTCACAGCTCTTTAGTTCTAACTTTCAAACTTATTCACTAATGAGTTTCAATTTCGCATCCATTGTTAAACCAAATTATTAGCGACACTACACACACACACACATACACACACACATACATACACACACACATACATACACACACACACACACACACACACATACATACATACATATATAGAAACACTTTTTGTAAAATGAATGCATTTCTTGTTTTGTAAGAATCTTTATGTGTTGTTAATCTGAAAATTCTTGTGTAAAAAGATAGCCATAAATCAGCAATGAATTCAATGACTGACTCTTTTTCTCTTTGAGTTTCTCTCTTGTCTTAGTGTCCCATATATTGTGTGATTAAATATATTTATTGAATTTTATTTTTTTGTTTGTTTGTCGTCGTTTAAAGTGAACACTCAATTAAATTGTTTTTGTATTTTAAGCTCCGAGTCGTCTAAAAATAGATTTTATGCTATTTATTGATGTGTCCACAGCTTTATTAAATTGGTCAAAGATATAGTTAGCAATTATAGTTGATTTTGAACTTTATTTTCTTTATTATATTAAATTGTGTACCAAATCGGTATAATATGTTATTTCAATCGGAAAAAGTGATTTTAAGTTACACAAGTATATTGAAATATTTTGCATTACTTGTTTTTTAAAATTATATAAATAAATTTAATAATATTAAAAAACTAGATTAAAAGTTTTAAAGTTATTTACTGTATTATTATTTTTTGTAGATTTTATTAATTTTTAAAAATATTATTTATTATATTTATGTCTATCATAGTTATAACTAATATTATTTTCAAACAGAATTATAAATTTATTAGTATTAATAAAAATAAACTTATTGAATAAATATTTATTATATACTGATATATATATATATAGAATAAAACAAGAATAACTAATTTGTTTAAAATTTTAGTAATTTTATTTAGTAATAATGATATGTAATTTTTTTATCACATAAATATTATTTATTTTATAATAATAATTATATTTTTGGGCAAAGTGACTATGAAATGATTATTAACGTAAAACTATAATAGGATTTAATACATATTATAATATATAAAAAAATCTTTATTTTTTGTTAATAACATAATCATTCATTTGTTATATAATGAAAATTATGATGTATTATTATTATTATTATAAAATATAATTTGTTAAAACTTACAGAGGCTATACTTTACCAATATATATATATATATATAAGTTTATATATAAAAATTTGTTGATTGGATTATACGATAAAAAAAAGTGAAATTATTTAGTGTACTATAAGAGACTGCGAGGAATGGGATGATAAAGTTGATCCCATAAGGTTTTTATACACTTTTTATATTAATTGTGATAAGATTTCTATGTCTTTATATTATCGCATTTTATAATGACATTTAGTGTTTATATATATATATACAGTATATATAGAGGATTTATAAAACAACATTTTTTCATTTATACAGTTTCAGTGCACTTATAATATTATATATACATTGTATACACATACATGTATATATATACTGTATATATAGAATATCTTGTTGTATATTAAGATACTATGATATTGTTATTGTGTTATAAGTGTACAATTGAAAACTTACAGGAAATTAAAGCTTTCAAAAGTCATTGCCAATGATGAGTGAGTGAGTGAGTGAGTGACAGAGCGAGTGAGTTGTGGGATATGCTGTTAAAAAATAAAGTGTATTTTTTCACTCTTGTCGGTGACATTTAACAAATTTACTTTATATATATGGATGCCATCAACACTTCCCTTTACACCAGAAATATATAGTTTACAGTATATAGCATAAGATATACAGTATATCAGATAATACAATAAGGCTTAAGTCCTGTAAAAACATTTTCAAGTGTATGTATGTATGTATGTATGTGTGTGTGTGTGTGTGTGTGTGTGTGTGTGTGTGTGTGTGTGTGTGTGTGTGTGTGTGTGTCAGTCAAGTTAAAAGAAAATGTGATGTTTTATGTTTTTGTTTGTGAAATGAGTGGGAATGGGGTGACAATCGGTTGTCAGACATGTGAGGCGGTGTGTGTGAACCAAACCAAGTGTTAACTGTCTATATATATATGCCATAGAAGATAGTGATGACAGAGAGGACTACAATACTAATAATAATAAGAAACATACATTTATTTGAGTATAAGATAACTAATTCAATGAATGCTTATGTGAGCAGTTTTGGCGCTTATATTATATACAATTCATATATATATATATATATATAACTTATAAATATACAGCATATATACTGTAGTATACGTATATATAATGGGAAAGCCATTGAAGAAATTACAGTAAACTTCACACTCATTATGTTTGCCACACAATAACGATGATAGCGGTGCTCATGAATGACATCACATATAAGATGATGTTTGGTGTGAATCGATATTACAGATAGTTATTTGAACGGAAAAATTGCAACAAAAATGTAGTCTAACTTATAAAAAGTGGCAAATGTTTGATTGAATGCTGAATAATGAATGACATGAATGGCCAAAAAATGACGGACCTTTACGATGGTGTCGACCCATCAATGATTGAGAAGTGAGAGAGAGAAAGACCACAAATCAAGTCTGATTCATACATTCATTGATCACATCATAAGCCATACCATAACATAATAAGGAATTATTGGCTAAAAAGGCGTCTGAATTATTGCTCAATAATGTAATAAAAAGCAACAAAAATAATATCACAACGACTTTCAAAAAAAACATGAAAAATAAGCTCTCATTTTGTCTCTCTCTCTCTCTCTCAATATTTTTTATCATAGTTTTGTAAAAAAATTATTTCGTCGATATATTTGATTGAGTTTGATATAAAAAAATTTAGTAGACATAAAGTCGACACAAAAATTTCAATACAGACATTAAATTAATTGGTAATAAGCCATTAAAAATAGCAGATTAAAATTATTTTCATTTATATAATGGGATTTGTAAAAAAAATCACAAATATATTGTGGTTTTTTATATTTATATATATTTATAACTCATACCAGATTTATCATCATTTTTTGTTTGATAGTAATTTTCATTTTGCAATAATCGGTTGCATTTATTTATATATTTTAATGTTATCTTTATCTGTAAAATAGTGACATTAAATACATTATATGTATGTATTATTGCCTTTAGTGCTATTTGTGTGCAAAAAAATACTTTGATTAAAATATAATCACAAAATATATTTAATAGAATGAAAAAACCCGAATACATATATTTTATATGAGAATAACGATTAAATGTTATTATATGTATTTGTGTGACACAATAATTACACAAATTTTGCCTAAATTTTTATAATATATTAAAAATAAAGACATTTTATATTTAACATTAGATTTAATGACTTAATATATATATATTATAAATTTATATATTAATTATATAATGCTGTTATATAATAATCAATGATATTTATTTTGTTAAATGACAGCAAACAGTTTTTATTATCGGTAACAATAATTTACGGGTGAGAAGCTTTAGACACGACTGTCCTTCTAATATAAATATAGTGAAACATTAAATCACACATTAGATTTGTCTCTTTTATACAATCTCTCTCTTTATCTTTCTCTCTCTCTCTCTCTYTCTCTCTCTCTCTCTCTCTYTCTCTCTCTCTCTCTCTCTCTCTCTCTCTCTCTCTCTCTCTCTCTCTCTCTCTCTCTCTCTCTCTCTCTCTCTCTCTAACAATACCAGTGCTCTTTAAGTAATGATAAGCACCAGTTATTAGTTTGTGACACTTCCATATAATAATGATAATGTCTGGTCTGTCCTCCCAATCATTTCTTTAAAAAAGGCTTTTATTTATATGAGATCCAAAAATGTCAGCACAAAAACATACAATATATATATATATATATATATATATATATATTTGAGCGCCAAAATTATACTGTACCACATCCAACATATCCTCTGCACATATCTTACACACATATTATAGTAGAAAACCAATTGAGGAGCACTTTTAGCAAACAATTTTTGTGATGTCTTTTAATAACGGCACACAATATGAACATATTTTTATATCATCTCTCTCACCGTTATTTCATATAACTGTCATATTTTCATTGATGACATTTATATACATACTATTGTATATAATATATTTATATATATATATGAAAGTTGGGACAGAAATTGGTATGTGTGGTCTATATATATAAATATGTGCTTAAAGT